TCATATGATGGTTTGCAAAGACTTCCATAGTTCCAGTCACTGTGATGTGATGATCAGCCTCAGAAGATAAAATGGCTCTCCTCACAAGCTGGTGACTTGTTAGTGCTGGGCCCCGGCTGGGTTCTGTTAGGAGAGTGTATGCTGGGGTGGGCTGTGTGTGCTGGGTGAAGCAAAACAGCCGCCCCAGCAAACGGGAGAGAGGCGAGTGTGGATTTCTGGAAGCAAGAGGAAAGCCCTCCCCACAGCAGGAGGGCCCCAGTGGGGAGACCCAATTACTCCAGCCCCGGTATGACTCTGGACTGACAGACTCCGGTGGTCTAATGGGCCAGACTAATGATTAGCACTAGGTGCTCTGGAAGTTTCTTGGAGGTTGTTTTTCGGTTCCCTGGCCACCCTGTAACCCAATCTTCTCTAGGTGGTGGATCACTCAGCAACATTTCAGTAAAACACTTCCATTTTCCTGGGAGCATTCTGTTCCTTCTGTTCCTGTTTCTCGGCCTTTCCCATTTACCAAGTTCTCCATCTCGGTTTCTGCCTCTGGCTCTTCGGAAATGCCAAGGCACTTCCAAAGTCCCCTGAATGGCCCTTCTGCCACTGTGTTTTCAGATAGCTTCTAATGATCTAGTCCTGGAAATGCAAACAGCAGTCCTCCAGAAGCTGCTAATTCCGTTATTTGAGTATCAACTATAGGTAAGGCACTGTTTTTGACCAGCTTGTCTAAATCAGCGAACAAAACATAGTTTCCACGTTTGTAGCGCTTACAGTGTGGTGACAAAAGACAGATGATCAACAAGAAAACAATGAGAACAAGTGGCTGGTACTCAAAGAAAAGGGCAGAGTCCAGCCAGGTGGGAACAGGTGGGAAGTGGCCAGTGGCTGAGTCTCCAGCACAGGGCTCAGGACAGGACTTGGAAGAGGTAGGAAGTTAGCTATCATTAGCAGGAAGACAGCTATAGCAACTTTTATTCTTTGAAATATCATGCATCGGATAAGCATCCTACTTTTATTGAGCAATGTGAAGCAACGTCAATGCTACCACAGAGTAAAAGGAGAATGTTTCAACTCCTACCCAAGACAGAGCATTGCTCTTTGCCAGTTGCTTTGTGCAAGTTTTAGGTGCTAATAAGCACCTCTAAACAAGTCATAAGGCTCTTAGCTGCACTGCTGTGTTACAAATAGAACTGTCAAAGTGACACCCACGCAGCTGAACACACAGCAGAATGATGGCTTCAGGCTCTTCAGGATTCAGGCTTCTGTGTCACTGCGGATCTTGCCAACGCCCGTGGCCTGGGCTGATGTCATTTGCTTACTTCCCGGGACTATCACTTCCTGCCACTTCAACCCCTGACAATGATCTGCTTGTGGATAGTTATTTACCAAAGTATTAGTGGACTTATAACTCTGAGAATAAAAACAGGGTCACCGGACACAACAGAGCGATCGGGCTGACACCATCAGTCTCAGCTTTATACAAAGAGTCTAATTTTTCTTTTCTGGGGACTTTAGTTTCTTTTTTTCCAAGTATATTATCAAACTAGCTGACAAAAAAAGCTGTGTGGCCCTGAGTCACCTCCAGGACAGCATGCCACCAGCTGGACGTCACCGCCTCTGGCAGCACAAGGCCCAGGTAGACTAGAGGGCTGGTGGGGAGTGGGTGGCGGGAAGTTTGCAGTCACTGAGGAGTAACCTGGTTGCAGTCGGTCAAGGCCAACATGTGCCAGTGAGAATAACTGGCCTCCTGCAGAAGAAAAAAGATGAATGCGAGGAGCTTGTTCAAATCTGAGTAAAAGTGTAGTAGAAAGAAAATTAGCTACAAGTTTACAGGGCAAAAACTGGGTGGAGTTCACGCACCAATTATTTCCCAGAAATGACTAAACTTGTTCATTGCTAGAGCTGTGTTCAGGGTGCACAGGCATGAACCCTCCCCCCCTCCACCCCCACCCCACAGCCTCAAAGTCACTCCAGACTCAGATCTTGTCGTTAATGACAGATACAGTGTAGAATTGTGTGCCTAATGAATGTCATAGCCAGATGCCTGGGCAGCACACAAGGAGAGCTGTCCCCAGGATGGCAGGGCGCCCCCTGGAGGTGTGCCAAGCAGTGCACCTGACTATTCCTGTTACCTCTATCTGTGATATAACCAGTCTGGTTGGCTCTTTTATAATCTTAACATCTGATTTCACAATAACCTACAGACTTTTATCTCAACACACAATACCTTAATGGAACAAAACAATTCCACTTTGGGGCTGGGAGGGGGGTGTTGAGGGGGCAGTGGTGGTGAGGAGAAACAGAATGAAGCAGAATAATCTGCAATTAAGGAGTGGCATTCTTCTAATTTCCACCCCTACAGGTAAGACTTCCTGGGGCAGCTGATCACTGTCAGCATCTCAATAGCACACCCTCCCCCTGCTCACTCTGACGGGGAAGCTTCCATTTTTATAGTGCATATAAGAGCAACCATCTGACATTCCATTTCCATTGGCAAAACTATGACAGAGAAATGCAGTCATTGAGACAATTGTCTTAATACACTAATTAAGACAACAGGGGTCAGGGGTCGAGCAAGACGACCCCAGGCAAACCCTACAAGCACGCTCACCCTATAGGCATCCGCGCTCTATTAAAATATATAGGTAAAAGCAAAGGACTATTCACTGATGTTGGTGCCATGCTCACTCCAAGACACGAATGGGTTTATTGACATGTCATTCAGATCTGGTGCCCCAGAGAGAAGCCACAGGGTGTCAAGGTGAGCCATACATGGGACAGGACAATGAAAAGTCCTAAATTGTGTATAGTTCACTACAACAGTCCAAGGAGACTAAGATTTAAAGCCTGACTAGAAGGAGACCCAGAAGCAGTGTTCCTATACTGACATTCCAGTAAGAGCATTACATTCAAAGCCAACTAGAATTGGGCCTGCCTTTGCCTCTCAGGTTAGCTAAATTCAACTTTATGAAACTAAAAAAATCAAAGGCTGGTTTCAAATGTTACATAACATCCCATCTAAGGATCAATTCACCCCCACTCCCCGGAAAATCTAGAGTCAAATAGCACGGCAATGTGCAAAGATCCCCTAGGGAGACAGAGCCCAAATTCCAAGTCCCTCTGGGCTCCACATGGCCTGAAGTCATCCCTACATACAGGGGTGGGGCCCGAGAGATGGCTGCGATCTTTTAAATACTCGCAAAGCCTCATTCCTAGGGTGCAGGTAAGCCTACTAGTTTCAAAGCGAAGCGTAGTTCATTCCTCAATTCAAACAGCTCCCACTGGCCTTTATCAGGAAACAACCTCCCCAAATCTGTCCATCCTTAGTCAGAGTGCTCCCTCTAATGTGTTCTGTGTGCAGCTTGCAGGTGGGCTATTTCCTTGCCCCTCAAATCCTGACTTTTTTTTTTTGGTTGTAAATTCAACATTTTTATTATTTGCATTAAAAATTGAAAATTAAAAAGCAGAAAATTTAGAAAGTCTTTTATCCTTAGTTAATTTTCTACATTATAAGTGCTTCAGGCCCTCCCTAGTGGCGCAGCAGGTTAAAGCACAGCACAAAGAAGCTAAAGCCACTTCTGCATGAGTTTTGATCCCTTCCCCGAGCTGACCCACATGGTGCAGCAGACCTCTCTGACCTGCCGCCCGCTGCTCCTCTCAGCAGTGTGTTTCAGTAGATCTGCCTGTTCTGTTCCCCACTCTGTCTCTGGTGAAGCCTCTCACCGCCCCTGCACCTCTGGCCAGTACCCCAGTTCTGTATGCACAAATAAATACATCTTTTTTTTTTTTTAAAGATTTATTTTATTTGTACATACAGAACTAGGGTACAGGCCAGAGGCTCAGGGGTGGTGAGAGGCTTCACCAGAGACAGAGCGGGGAGCAGAATAGGCAGATCTACGAAGTACACTGTTGAGGGGAGCAGCGGGCAGGTCAGGGGAGGTCTGCCACGCCATGTGGTCACCTCCGGGGCAGGCGGGGATCGAACTCATGCGGAAGCGGCTTTAGCTTCTCAGTGCTGTGCTTTAACCCGCTGCGCCACCAGGGAGGGCCCAATACATCTTTTTATAAAAAGTGTTTCTTGATATATAAAGCAATATAAAATTACCTTTTCCCTTTTTTTTAGTAATAGTTTTTTTTATATATATATCATTTTGTGCCTTTTTCCATCTCAGTCGTAATCCCTGTGGACTCCAACCCTGACTTTCAAGATTTACAACATTCAACTTTCTCAAACATGACCCGGTGTGGGTGGGGTCCTGCCCTTTATTACTGACCATCTGCTTGTCTTCTGGCAACTCCAGGATGTTCTGTAAAACTCTGCAGAGATAGACACCACGTACGTGGGGACGTAACTGGCAGGGACCAAAGAGGGTTAGAGGGTTTGAAAGTGCTTTTTTAAAGAACTTGTACTCATCTGTTTTGCAGTGCCTCGTAACACGCACCCCACTCTCCACCCACATGTAGCTTCCTGACTGAACGTGGGCCTCACAGCGTCAGAGCTGGTTCTCACCCCAGGAGCCTCATCTAGGTGCCATCTGCTGAGCTGGGCGATGGTGGTGATACTGACCAAGATGTAATGGGGACTTACAACAAATCCATGTCACAGAGCAGCGCCTGTCAAATTTCAGGGTGCAGCAATGTCACGGTTAAAAATACACACACCTACGCTGGATTCTGAGTCAGCTAAATCTGGGACAGGCCTAGCCATCTGCATTTTTAATAAGCACACCTCCTCCCTCCCAACCTCCTATATTCTGCCCTCAGCTTGGAGAAGCACAGAAAACAGTGATGAAGCATTTATCTGCGGAGGAGAAAGTCAGGTGCACACCACCGACATACAGCCACGAGCTACACCCCACCTTCACCAGCTCCGGGCCAGTGAAGGGGAGGGTGAATACACGCTCACCCAACAAGAGCTTTCCATTTTAGTAGCCAACCCCAAAGACTTTCTGCTCAGAAAGCCCATTCTTCTAGCCCTTCTTTAAAAAAGGCACCATCTGTGGACATGGTGAGTTTTGAAAGTATGCAATTACTTTATTTCCTTGGCCTGACAGCAACAACTTTATTATACAAGAGCCTGCAGCTGACAGAACAGACCCACCGATTTTCCCCACAAGAAGGACCCTCCTCATGAGCAGAGATGAATTGAAATGTCACATCGAGTGTAATTCCTGCTCCCGCCCCACCCACGTCTACCCACCCTTAAGAGTGAAAATAAATCCAAATCCACAGAATCCCCGTGAATGACTAAAAGTCACCCAGTGAAAATTTTCTACTAGCAGCGGCAGTACATGGAAACCCAAGGAGGGAGGCAGCTGGCCACCAGTGAGCATCTCCATGCGTGAGACAGAAGGGCAGAAGAGGGAATTCTGAGGCAGGAAAAAGCAAGGATGCCCTGCGTCACCTCACACCTGCCCCTTCCGTAAGACGTCCCGTGCCTACCCAAGGAGCCAGTTAGGGAAAGGTCGGAGGAATGGGGTTAGCGTGTAATTGGAAATGGCCAAGGCTCATTAAAGCCAGAGGTCAGGGTGGGATGAGGGACACGAGAGAAGCAGCAGGTTAGACAGAGATGCTCAGTACTGAGTGAATTCCAGTTGGACGCTATCTACACGCCTTCCTCGTGACAACCCTCACTCCTGGCCATGGTGTTCCAGTTCATTGAGCCCCTTCTCAGGTGGTGTCTGATGTCGGTGGCTTCCCCTGGCACAGTGCAGGGGTGGGTGTGAGGTTACAACAGGGGTGGGGAGGAGGTATGGAGAAGGCGTCAAAATGCTTTAAATCCAGTGAGTCTCTTTTGGTCCCCGAGAATGGCCCAGTAGCACTCTCCCTAAAACATTCCCGTCCCCTTTTCTTATCTGACTTGTGCAAATGTCAAAAATAGAATCTCTGCCCGAAGAGATGGGAGAGCAGGAAGTGACTGGTGGTCTACAATCATCTCTGGCCCCAACTCGCCCACCTCCTGGCTCATCTAGAAAATGACACAGAAGTTAATTTGCAGCAATGCTGTGAAGTTACATCATCCCCTTCTTCCAGCAAAGCCAATCCAACTGTTCTGTCCTAACATGCTTTCCCCCTGGCCCGAGGAAGCAGCAAAAAATATCAATTAGCATGTGGAAATATGGTGACGGTGTGTGTGGTAAAGTGTTTCCAGATGTCGTCCCCTGCTTCTCCTCCATGGTGGGAGCCCCCCCTCACTTCCCCCAAGTTCCACACACAGCCCTCCCTCTACCCCCGAGTCCAGGTGCTCCCTCTGCTGAGTTTCTGCCACTCACTTCCCATAGACACTCTCATCACTGTAGGCCACGTACAGAAAATAGTCTTCCTCATGGTTGTCCTGGGGGAAGAGTTAAGAGGACAGTTAGATGAGATAATCACGTTCCTTACCTCCAGGGTTCTCTGCCTCACACAGACCTTGTGAAGTAGGTGTACAGATTCAGAAAAAAACCTGCATGGAGAACGTAGGGCCAGTTGATATCAGGGAACAAGGGTGTACTGCTTCACACTGAAAAAATGCATTCCAGGAAGGGAATAGGTCCAACAAAACAGACCCAGCGTACACATCAACAGGGAACAAGTGTCAGGAATAAAAGCCTAAAAGCCACATGGGAGGTTGTGGGATGCTTATGCAATTCATCAAAGGGGCACAAAATGAAGGCCGCATCATGTAAATCTTTTAAAAAACAATGCACTCACTATCCTAGGTGATCCAGCATGACAAAGTCCCCTATATCAAGCTTTTTTTTTTAATTAAAAAATCTGAGAGTTTGCAGGGAAATAAAATTGTATAAATTTCTCTCTCTCTTCCACTGAGTCGATCCATTACATCAAATGAGACCATTTAAAGACCTTGCCTCAATCTTGAATTTCATTGTACTTTTGCATTTATGTTTGCAACCAGGAGCCACTTCCTTGTTTCAAGGGAGACAAGCCAACGTAAAAACATGTCAGAGCAAGGCAAGACTGAGGTGAGAATGCACTGATTGAATCTAGCAGGGTGCTCCAGGAGCAAAGGGCCAGCGGTATCTCGTCCCTCAGAACCTGACCTTCCATGTGGAAGAGATCCCGCTAAGTTACACCTCCTGCCCCACTTCCCAGGTGTGCTATCAGCACCGGAACAAAGGCTGGAACAAGCCAGACTGCAGGGTATTGTTGTCACGGGAACATTACCTCATACAGCTGGCCCATCGTAGCGCTGGTGGGAGGGATAGTGTTGTTGACAAAGAAGAATAAAGCGTCCTCAGGCCTCAGGTGGATCCTCTTCCGGATTAAGAAGTAGAACTGGCCAACTGGAAGAAGGAAATGTTTCAGAAGAAGCAAGCAAGCATAGCAGAAACCAAGGTATTAGTAAAGGGTAAGTCACTCCCCAAAATTCTAGTGCACCTGTTGCCTTCAAAGTCCTAGCTTTAGATACCATCTGCGCTGAGCCAAACACAGCTTTAGAGAAAAAGTGAAGCTCAAGGAAGCTGGCATATTCCCTGACACGCCACTGAGGCACTGAGACTTCGTATTAGAAAATCCACTCAAGGCCTGAGGACAACTTGAAGGGAACACTAGGTACAAATTACAATTAAACCAGAACATCCCCGTTACTGTCGAAACTGACGTGAAACAAGTGTCCATCTCTTCTCCCACAGACAAACTAGTGCTGGGAAGAGGAGCACTGGACTCTCATCTTATACCCAACACTGCAACCATAACTGGGGTTCAATGCTTTACCTTTTTTCTGAGCATTCTGATAATATTCTAGAAGGGTCACAAGCCAAATCTAATCCCTCCGGAGCAAACACATCTACAAAATCTTTCCTGTGTTTCCTGGATTCTGTGGTTATTCCACTGAGGATTAGGGCGAGGAATGAATAGCTGTGCTTTGTAATTCTAAACAATAGGTACAAGACAGAAAAACTGTCTTCGGATGAGGTATTTCACTGAGAATCTCTAAAATGTGATCCAAGAAACGTTTCTGGTTTCCCAGTAACAAAGCTGAATTGTGAGTGATAAACACACGTCCAGTGTTTTCATTTACCGTCTTGCACTTTGCTATGACGAATGGATTAAGACAGTGTGACAGGAAAGGCTGGTGATGAGGGGGTCACATTGTTAAATCACTCTCTGGCGAAGCCCACTTGTTCTCTTCAATCCTTCCTCTCCATGTCATAATCTAGTCAGATCGGGAAGGAATGGAGGTGGGTGATCTGAGATGGTTAGGGAGGGAAGCCTATTACCAGTGAGGTCAGAGGGCACCAGGTACTTCCTCTTGTCCAGGTCAGGCACCCTGGCTTTGGGGGCCTTTTCCACGATCACCTGGGAGGAGAGAGAGGTAGTGAAAATTATGGAATTCAACCTAGTTTTTTCCTCCCCAAATCCTAGAGTCGCCCCTACTTCAAATGTGTTTGCCTAGACCCAATGAAACTTTTCCATGTCTTATACCTCCTTTACCCCATACAAAAGGTGTGGGGAAATGGGCTTCCTTAGGAAGGTAGCAGCTTTCTTACTGCAACAAAGAGATTCTGGAGCAAGCACTAGATGAAAAGTGAAGCGTACCTTGATTTTGAGTAATGACAGGTTAACCTTGCTGAATATATTTAATTAGAACATCAAGAAGACTGTCTGGGTTTTTTCAGAAAGTTTTGTTCTTTCCTTACACATCATTTATTAAAGGAAGGATGAAGTGGTATACATTTTGTACTTTGTCAAAATTTTTTAGTATCACTGCAAAAAATATATTCAAGGCACTATGGAGTGAAATAAAGTACTAAAAAGGATCCTTAAATATGACATTGGCATTCAGTAAGGGAGGGAGAAAGAGAGGGCGAGGGATCAGAACGAGGGCGGGAAGAACACAAGAGACTTTGGTGATGGTTCACCAGGTGACTTGCAGGTGGGAATTCTACGGGGACTACATCTGAAAGGAACAAAGATATTAAAAAAAATACATTTATGAAAAATAAAACAGAACCTCCCCAGTGATGCAAGGGGCTAATTCTCAACACTTTTAAGCTATGAGTACAGACACTGCAACATGTCTTCAATCCACCCGCCAGGGAGCTGACCCATATGGCATGGCAGGTCCCTCCTGCCCCACACCCTGTTTCCCTCAGCAGTGTATTTCAGTAGATCTGCCTGTTCTGCTCCCCACACCATCTCTGGTGAATCCTCTCACCCCTTGCACCTTTGGCCTGTACTCCAGTTCTTGTGTACATAAATACATCTTTAAAAAAAAAAAAAGGTGGTGAAGATGGTCTGTAAAATTTAAATAATTCTCTTGGCCCTCCCTGGTGGCGCAGCGGGTTGAAGTGCAGCGCTGAGAAACTGGAGCCACTTCTGCATGAGTTCAATCCCCGCCTGCCCCGGAGGTGACCACATGGCGCAGCAGACCTCTCCTGACCCGCCCAATGCTCCCCTCAGCAGTGTACTTCATCAACCTGCCTGTTCTGCTCCCCACTCTGTCTATGGTGAAACCTCTCGCCGCCCCTGAGCCTCTGAACTGTACCCCAGTTCTGTGTGCACAAATAAATCTTTGGGGGGGGGAAATTTAAATAATTCTCTCTAAACAAAAGTCTTTGGAAAAATTTAAAAACCTCCTTTGTATATAGGGGGGGGGAAGCATTCCACGCCAGGAAGACCAGAGAGACACAATCACACTTGAAAATCAAAAATCTATGTAAATCAGGATAGAAAAATGTAAAAATGTAAATCAGAAAATAAAAGAAAAAAGCAGGTGCTTCAGGAGGGTAGCAGATTAATAAAATTAAAGAAAACAATTACTATTTCACAGGAACTCAGGCCTGCCAGTTCTGATCAATAAGAAGAGATGGAAGTTTTAAAAAAAAAAAAAAAAAAAAAAAGGAGGCCCAAGCACAGCACTATGAAGCTATCAGCAGCCACTGCAGCACAAGTTCGATCCCCAGCCAGGGAGCTAATCCACATGGGGCATTGGAACTCTCCTGACCCACCCGCTGCTCCCTCAGCAGTCTATTTCAGTACATCTGCCTGTTCTGCTCCCCACTTTGCCTCTGGCCTGTACCCCAGTTCTTGTATGCATAAATAAATCTTTAAGTGAAAAAAAAAAAAGAAGAAGGAGCTGGGAAAAAAGAACAAAAGCTAAAGCTGACTACATACGAAACAAAATTTTTACTTTCTATGATAAGGTGAACAAAAGCTAAATCTGATGGGCAGGGAACATCTGGGAGAAACAGGAGGGGTAAAAAATCACTAAGGCCTTGGTTTACTAGAAAAAAACATGGGTTTCAAGGAAGCTCAACTCTACTCACTTAAGTGACCTTGGGCTAGATGCTCTGCCTATTTGGTTCTCTAATCTGTGACATGTGGCTAACTCTGTAAAAGCTATTCACCCATTTTAAACAGGAGACAATCTGTTCCTACCTTTTCCTGCTATGTTGCAAGTTTTTCAATGCACTGTGGCGATGAAAGAATTGCAAGAGCATAGAAAACCCTCCTCTCCCCATGCGTCGGCACACCTGCACCTGCTCTTTTGGCTGTCCCCACTGAACACTCAGGTTAAACTCCAGTTATGTGACCCACGGAGGCATGTGACTGTTGCAACAAAGCCAGGCACGTGACTGCTGGCAGGGACTTCGTTTACTCTCCCTCCCCTTCTGCAAACGGGCACTGTTTGGAGAGACTGAGGGCTGTTCCCAGAGCTAGCACATTCCAGATCTAAGGCCATAGCTCTTCTTTCTGCATCCCAACCAGAAAAAAACTCACAGGCTGAGCACTTCAGGAAGCATGGGACAACATGCTGCTCTCTAGTTAAATCTTAACTAGAAGAAACATGAAACCCAAGGGACAGTCACTGGAACTTACACACTATCACAGAAGGTAAAACATATAACACCAAGTGATTAGCTAAAATATTCTGGGTAAATGCATATAAGGGATTAAAATGGAAGGGCTTGGTTTGGAGGAAATACATAGAGATTTTAACTAGACTTCGGAACAGGTAGATTTCAGAATGTGATTCTACAGCACTTCACACTTGGCAATAAATGGTTGTCATTTTGCTTTCTGGGTTATTTTCCTGGCATCACTTACTCCATTATCCTCCTGGGTAACAATTTATTTCTTTATCTCCAATACCTAGCAGAGTGAGACCCAGGCAATACACAATTAATTAGTTTTGGGAACAGAACTTGAGAAGTCGATGGCCTGGAGAGCCAAGAAGCAGGCTGTCATCCCCCACACAACAACACACCAGCAAGGTGAATCACTTAGGAAGTGACTTCCATTGTCTGTGCTTTGGATACGTCACTAGCAGAATGAGATTACCAAGGTGTGAGGGTTAAGTGAATGAGTATAGACAGAGAAGTTAGAATATCACCAGGCATACCTTTATCAATAAAACATGTGGCTTTATCACACAAGAGTGAGAATGTTATCACCGGGGTCATCCAAGGTCCAAGACCAGTAACCTGTGAAGTTTCCTTTACCAGGCCTAAGGCCCACTCTCCTTGTTAACCAGAAACCTCTTGCCTGTAATTCCAGGGGAATGAAACAGACCTAATTCCGCCTCTTCCTTATAGGAAAAGGATTGCAAGGAGTTTTTAATACAGGCTTAAGGCCTCCAGGGTGGTTCTTGGTATCTGTAAAATCACAAAGTTAAGTAAGGGTGGGACAGGCATCCCAAAGTGTAGCTGTAGGTCAAAAAAAGCCATCAGATAATTGCAACTCCTCACCTGTAAATCACATGACATATTTATCCGTCTGTCCCTATCTGTGGATAAAGAGCAACCCTACTATCTTCGGCTCTTGCATCTCCCCAATCCAACTGTGCCCGTTTTCCCTCTATGTAGCACACCAAGTCTTCTGCTTTCCAATCTGTCTGCGCAGCCAATATTAGAGAAAAAAACCAAGCAAGTGGCGGGGGAGGGGGAAACTAGGAAAACGCCCGGATGCAGAATGATCTCTTAATCTTGGCTCCTTTTCACTGCCTACACTGGTTTTAACTGTAAAAACCAGGGTCCTAAGCGGAGGGAAAAGCCTCTATCCTCCCTTATTGTGTCCAGGTACAATCTGGTCACATTCCCGGCAGAAGGCTGGCCGCCCCCACACGAGCCCAGGGCACCAAGGAAGATGAAGCAGCCGAGCTTTAACGCAGAGAACTTGACCTTGTTTTCTAGACCAGGCACGTCTCGTGGCGTCCCCCACCCCTTCCTAATCTTCACAGAATAAAAGAATCCGCTGGCTTCCAAACATTCCCCTCCCAAATCCAGTTTCAAGAGGTCAAAGGCGACTACATTCAGGGAGAAGCAGCTAAGGTAGATTTCGCTGGGTGCAATCCCCATCATCCCAATCCCCAATTATTCCCAGAACAATTTCCTTGCAATCTTAAAATCAGCAAACCTAAGTTCCCAACCGAATCATTCTCCCAGAGAAGGGCCAAGTCTGGAGACACCCCAGCCTACACATCTCGGGATACTGCTGAGTCACTGAAGGGTACATAGTCTCCGCTCTAAAGATGCGGTCGGCTGGAAAGATGGGTACCCGGCCCGGGGATATGAGCTTAAAAAGATCCGCAGTGGAAAATGACCGTTCACTGGCTCTTGGTGAAGTGAAGGGCGTTTGGAATCGTCATTCTGGGGTCCTCCCTCTCCGGAACACCCCCAGCGCCGTAGGGCGGCCATGTCGCCTCCCCAGCCCCCCGCTAACCCCGTCCCCTCCCCACCCCCACCTCCCGGGGCACTCACCGGCACCCTATCCGGATACTTCTTTCGGATCTTCTCTCCTTCCTTTTTCCGATACTCAAAGGGATGGTCCTCCTTGTACTGGAACTTCATGATGGACCGCAGAGTTTCCGAGATCCCCGCGCGGGGCCGGCCTTGCTCGCTGCTGCCTGAGCGTCTCCCGTCTCGCTTCCCTCCGGCCGATCTCCACGGGTCTCGGGGTCGCCCCCTGAACGGCAGGGCCGCTCGCGACGCCGCGGGAACGAGCTTTGACAGGGGATCTCCGGACGCCGGGTGCAGAAGTAGGGGAAGGCCAGGTGAAGCGATCCCAGCGGCTTTTCCTGAAAGCTGGGAACACAAAAACAACTCCGCGGCGCGTAGGTGCTTTGACGTCTCGAGGCCCCACCCTTGGGCCCGCCCCCCAAGTTCTGGGCCCCGCGGGACAGGGGTGTAGCGACTCCTAATCCATTTCAGTGCATTTCATTTCTGGCTAAATTTTCCTCAGTAGAGTTCATTGCAGATATAAAATATTTTTGCTTCTTATCTTATCTGGATTTTGACATGACAGATGGATTAAGACGGCCAATGTAAAGCCCTAAAGTTATCTGCTCCCCTCTCCCTCGCTGTTTCTTGGTTGAGGCCCAAAACACACAGGCTGGCAATGCATCTTTTTCCAGCTTGTTGGGATCTGTAGTCTTGCGGGGCGGGGAACGGGATGGAGTCCTCAGATTGGTTTGGCCCGAGCAGAAGTGCCCCAGGACTGCATTTTTGTCCCTTGCTTGCTCTTCGGACCGCTCGGAACGCGAGTCCTGGGCTGGCTTCCTGCAGCCATAACTCCTCTGTCACCTCGTCGGCCTCCGCGTCGTTTTGTTTGGGTGCATGTCGCAATTTGCTCCTAGAGCAACAACATAAACTGAGCGTGACTCAGGGATTTGAAGAAATGTACACGATGCAGTGTAATCAAAGTCCGGAGAAGTGATGTCAATCAAAGCATTTATGGGCTTTCCCCATTTTTCAAATATAGAAATGATTCACTTTCTCCTGTTAACTCAAAAGTTGAGTCTCTTTTAGTAAAGAACATATAAAGCAATTTAAGTGATTAAGTTAGTAGTTCGCAAACTTTTTTCCCCAGCGAAAGTTCGCCTGACATATATAGCAAGATAGGTGAAGTGTCCATAGAGAATATAAAGTAAAAGTCTGGTGGAAGATTCTGGATGGTGGGCCAAGGGCGCCTGTCACCTCCCTTTGGTGCATCCCTTTCCCCAGTAAGAATCAAACCTTGCCAACCAACACTAAAGGCGTGATTCCAGGGACAGTGTGGGGAAGCAGCGGAAACTGTAAAAGAGAAGCAAAGAGAGGAAGGGTTGCTTTGCCCTGAACAAGGCCAGGAAGTTCTGGAAAATATATTAAGTACCCACAGCTCCTACACTGACTTCTTTTATCGAGACTCAATGTCTCAGAATTTAAAAACAAACCCCTACATTTCATAATTAAAACAAGGAAAATGAACTGCTTAGCCCAACTTCTTGATTTGACTATTTTTCTCCACTGTAGTTTTTAGTAACTTTTATGGAGGAAACATCAAGACTTACTTTATTCTTATATTCAAGATCAAAATGGTGTCAGTGGTTCCCTTCCCTCATCTCAGCTTTGCCCAAATAGAGCTGTATCTTCTAAAAAGTACTTTACAAACTGTTGAGAAAAATAAAAGTGAAGGAGTGTTTTTTATGTCGAATATACTGGAAACTACTATAGCTACTTAAAATGTTGATTTAAACTTTTATATGAAAAAGATCTAAGCAAAATGGCAATTTGTATATGAAAAATAATTTGATAAAATTTCAGCTCATCTTTCTGACTCAAGGCTTTCTTAAATGCTACCATTGTATCTTTGAATACCCAGTCACTCAGCTTCCAAAATTTGGTATCAACCTTTATTCTCAGCTAACAATGAAAACAGTATACAGAAACTAATTTTATAAATTAATACAATCAGATTAAACTATGTCAAAAATCTTTTTTTAACTAAGGACAAAATGCTATCTTAACAAACTCACCTTTCAAAAACACTCTTTCATCACTCATGGGGATAGAACATAATACAGCCACTTTGGAAAACAGTTCAGTAGTTTCTTAGAAAACTAAACACATTCTTATATCAGATCCAGCAATCATTCTTTGTAAGTACCCAGAGGAATTGAAAGCTTAGGTTCACATGAAATCCTGCATGCACTGTTAACAGCAGCTGCCAAACTTAGGCGCAATCACAAGGTACTTCAGTGCAGTGGGTGAAAGGATAATAAAGCATGGAAAGTCCAGGCAGTGGAATATTATTCAGCGCTGAAAACAGAGGAATGAGTTAGCAAGCCATGAATATTCTTCAGGGCTAAAAGAAATGAGCTATCAAATCATAAAAAGACCTTAAATATGTATTATTAAGTGAAAGAAACCATTCTGAAATGACTGAAGACTGTATCCTGCCGTCTATATAGCTTTCGGGAAAGGCAAACTACTGAGAGTTTAGAGGTTTTAGGATTGGGTTTAGGTGGGGAGGGGAAGGGCGTAGGCAGACAGCGCAGAGAGGATTTCAGGGCAGTGAAAATACTCTGCATGATAATAGCATGGACTGGTGCAGTTCTGCTTTAGTCCAAACCAGTAGGATGAACAGCACCAAAGCAAAGCATGAGCCCTAAAGTAAACTGTGGATTTGGGGTTGATTATGATGTCTGATGTAGGTTGCCTGTTGTAACAATGGGAGTCGGGGCTGTGTGTGGTAGGGGGGTGGTATAGGGAAATCTCTATATTATCCTCCTAGTTTTTTTCAGTGAACCTAAAAAAATGTTCTTAAAAAATAAGGATTCTGGGCCTCCCTGGTGGTGCAGGGGTTAAAGACACACAGTGCTATCAAGCTATCACCAACCATTGCAACATGTGTTCATTCCCAGGCCAGGGAGCTGACCCATATGACGCAGCAGACCTCTCCTGTCTCTCCCTCTGCTTCCCCTCAGCAGTGTATTTCAGTAGATCTGCCTGTTCTGCTCCCCACCCTGTCTCTAGTGAATCCTCTCACCAACACCCCCAGCCCCCATTTCTGGCTTGTACCTCAATTCTTATATGCATGAATAAAAATATCTTAAAAAAAAAATAGGTGTTCGAAAAAAACCCACATGTCTTCTAATATTCATTTCAAATTAGTCTTGTCATCTAATATGTTCTCCAGGGTTAGAACTTTTTTCCAAGCTTTTTTTAATGGACATTATCAATTTTAAAAAATTAGTATGGTACATACCTATATAGCCACCTCCTGAATTTTTTGCATTTAATAGTAAACTGGAAGCATTGAAACTTCAGCTAAAACACTCACAATATATTCCTCTTCAGAACAAGAGTATGCGTCCACATAATCATCAACTATTGCAACTAACATTACTAACATTTTCCAACATCACTTAACGCTTCAATTGCTCTTTAAACTGCTTTTAAGATATCCCCTCAATCAAGTATTTGAACATGAAAACTCGGACAGAATATAAATGCATCTGAATCATTTTCTACTTGGTTTATTTTTTTTTTTAAGATTTATTTATTTGTACATACAGAACTGGGGTACAGGCCAGAGGCTCAGGGGCGGCGAGAGGTTTCACCATAGACAGAGTGGGGAGCAGAACAGGCAGGTTGAAGCTAAGGGGAGCAGCGGGCGGGTCAGGAGAGGTCTGCCGCGCCATGTGGTCACCTCCCGGGCAGGCGGGAATTGAACTCATGCGGAAGTGGCTTTAGCTTCTCAGTGCAGTGCTTTAACCCGCTGCGCCACTAGGGAGGGCCTTGGCTTATTTTTTAATATTATATCCAAATTGTTAGGCAACACCAGAATTTGAGTTTATTGATCTCCAGTGAGAAATATAACAACAAAAAGTTCAGTTCTTCACTGTAATGGCTAAGCCTGGCATTTGGACAAGGGTGATATTTAATTTGGACTATACTGCAATTCACAAAACGAATGCCAAGTCCTGGGGATGGACTGGGTGTCTCTAAGAACAGGAAACCATCTTTCTTGTCTTGCTCCCTCAACAGGGTGTTTAGCTGCATCTCCCTCCTCTAATGTGAATATACTCTCTGCTAATCCCAGTTCCCTGCAGGTTCTCTCTTGCTGATTACCTACGGCTCTGCACAAGCCACCTCAGTGGGGGCTTAAAACAGTGTCACCCATTTTGCTTACTACCAATCTGAGGTTTGGGGGTTCAACTTATCACCAAGAAATAATCTGGCCATAATATAATTACGAAAACACATAAAGTGTTTATCCAGAAGAGGAATCATAACCAAGAGTTGGTCCCAAGTGAGCTCTGTTCTGGTGTGATTACTAAATTTGAAAAGTAAGCCCTTACTCCTTGCCCAGCAGGCAAGTTTCGGAGGCTTGAATGGGTAAAGGGAGTGGCTGGGGCTGCCCCAGGGGCCTGGCCATTAAGCTGATGATCTGAAGAGCAAATGATTCTCTATGCTAATTCAGAACATCAGGACATGCCCACGACTGGTCACCCTAACCAGTCAGTGATGCCTGGCGCATATAAGGAGTCTGGCTGGGTCTTTCTCTCTATGTGCAATGTATTTAGTAAATACTCATCAGTGTGTTTAATAAATCACCATTTTTGCTTTCTGCTCTGTCTCTGGTGAATTCTATCATCCCCATGCTTGTGGACTACACCCTTGGTCTTTGTTCACCATATTCTACCTGGGGAGGGCAGGACAGACTTGTAAAGGATCAAGCTGGGGAGTGGTCTAAGCTTAGGTCACCTGTCCAAAATGCTTGGATGGGTTCATGGGTGTCTTCAGACCAAAAGCAGTAGTGTGGGATGTGTTGCAACAGTCAGCAGATAAGCAGACTTTATAAGCAGAGTACAGCGCATTGCTGTTTTTTGGAGTCCTTGCTAGAGAGCAATCAGTGGGGAATCTTTCTTTGGGAAGTCAGGCTACTTTTCACCTAGAAGTCTCACCCTGGCAGCTCGGAGGCCAGATGGAGTCTATTAACTCAAAATAGTTTCCACAAATGAGACAATCATTTGGGCTTAGACAGTTGCTGGGGATTGGATCTTCTTGGAAGGCTGCTCGCACATGTGCAGAGAGGAATGGGAAAATTTTAAGCTCTGACCCTATGTTTTTCTCTGTGGTGTCACCAGGTCTCCGCATGGTCAAGGTTAGGTGGGTTGCTTCCCAGCCGGCTTCAGAATCTGACCAAATTTCCCTAGCGCAGTAAGAACACACAGCCTTCCCTAACCTTGCCTGTCACTTCTGCTGCGACAGTCTTTCCTCCTTGTGATTTTCAGGGTAGTTGGAAAATCCTGCCCAGATCCCAAGGGAAGAGACCATACACGCCCC